ATGTATTTTCATCTTAATATGTATGGGCCATGTTTACAGTAGTTTACACATACATGTTTTTAATTATTTAGGCACATAGGCCACAAATATTTAAATTTGGTACCATTAACTAGCAACACATTAAATTATCAAATTAACATTACTTCAAATTAAGTCCTAAAAAGAGCATTTTGTTTACATTGTCCGGTAAGAGTCTATTTCTAAAAGGCGTTACAATTAGCCAGGGCTCTATAAAAGTTGAGTGTGCCTGCGCACACACTTGAAAATGTGCCTGCAGGGTCATACTCAAAAGGAGAGTATTCAATTGCCAGGTATATAGTATGATTGTGGGGGGGGGCTTACGAAAGCTTCTTGGGTTGGACTCGGCAGAAGAAGAAATTATAAATAATTTTTAGTACCTTTTTTATTATGGTTTCTAAATTGTATTAATGTATTATAGATTACTTTAATAATAAAGATTATGTTTGATGTGCATATTGTTGTTGTTTGGGGTTGATATAAACATAGAATAGATGCCTACCGGCTTCAAACAACTTCATTAAATCCCTTTGCCCAGCCAGGTTGTCATTCGTTAAACTTAACTTCCAGTGTAATTCGGATACTAACAAGAGTTGTTTCCCTTGATGATGACAAGATATTCATGCACCGTAACTAAAATAACTGTTGTTCTGATGTGGCCTAAATTATTTTTCAATATTCCACTTACAGTGTATTTAAATTAAAAAAAAAAATCTAATTTACCATTTATTTAAATGCAAAATCAAAAGTGATAGTTCATACGTCGCGTGCTATTCTTTTAATCATCGACTGGCAGGGCTCCTTAAAAGTTGAGTGTGCCTGCACACACACTTGAAAATGTGCCTGCAGGGTCATACTCAAAAGGAGAGTATTCAATTGCCAGGTATATAGTATGATTGTGGGGGGGGGGGACTTACGAAATCTTCTTGGGTTGGATTCGGCAGAAGAAGAAATTATAAATAATTTTTAGTACCTTTTTTATTATGCTTTCTAAATTGTATTAATGTATTATAGATTACTTTAATAATAAAGATTATGTTTGATGTGCATATTGTTGTTGTTTGGGGTTGATATAAACATAGAATAGATGCCTACCGGCTTCAAACAACTTCATTAAATCCCTTTGCGCAGCTAGGTTTTCATTCGTTAAACTTAACTTCCGGTATAATTCGGATACTAACAAGAGTTGTTTCCCTTGATGATGACAAGATATTCATACACCGTAACTAAAATAACTGTTGTTCTGATGTGGCCTAAAGTGTATTTAAATTTAAAACAAATATCTAATTTACCATTTATTTTAATGCAAAATCAAAAGGTGATAGTTCATACGTCGCGTGCTATTCTTTTAATCATTGACTGACATTCTACTAGAATTGTCACTTAATTAAGCAGAGGTCACAGGTGATAGGTCATAACTCACAGGTGGAATCGCTAACGTCGCGTGCTGATGTTTTTATCATCGACTAGCTTATTCTAGTAAATTATTATACAGTAATCAAAGTAAACAAAAAAACAAACAAAAAAACAACAACAATAAAAACTAGAACTGCAAAGCAGTAATGACGGGTTTCACCGGTGCCCCGTCACCCTTGAACATATGTCACTTCCGGTACCGATGAAACCATTAAACAGGTTTCCATATAAGCATTGCACACATCAAATAAAATGTATGCAGAATCAACCAAATCCAGCAATATCAATATCGAATAATAATTGCCACTTTTATAGACCAAATACCTTGAAAAGTGACTTGTATAAAATCGTCTATTAGGCTAATCTGCAACCGTACAAGTTAGAAACCATTTTTTGGTATCTGTATGATCATATGGGTTCAATCTATTAGTTGATTGGAATCAAATTTCATAATTTTAAAAACATTACAAATCAGACTCATTTTATTAAAATATCTGTTTTAAAGGCTAAAAATACAGTTTTTGCCAAAATGACGCTACTTCCGGTGATAATGAAAATCTTAAATTACTTGAATGAAATCGTAAATGGCGTTAGGTGTCACACACTGAAAATTTCATGAAAATCGAATAATAATTGATACTTTTATGGACCAAAAACCTTGAAAAGTTACCGTTTGAAAATCGTCTATTTCTCTGCAATTGAACAAGTTAGAAACCATTTTGTGATATCTATATGATCGTATGGGTTCATTCTATTAGTTGATTGGAATCAAATATCAAAATTTAAAAAAGAATAACAAATACGACTCATTTGAATAAAATATCTCTTTTATAGGCTAAAAATACATTTTTTGCCCAAATGATGTCATTTCCGCTGACAGTGAAAATGTTAAATTGGTTTGACCTAGTCAAAATTAGCACCATTTCAAATGGTAAAAAATATGAAAATCGAATAATAATTGACGTCTTTACAGGCAAAATAACGTGAAAAGTGACGCATGCGAAAATTGCCTATTTCTCGGCATACGCACATATTTGTTTTTATACTCCCACATTGAAATGTGGTCGTATATTGTCGTGGTCCCCGGCTGGCGGTCCGGCGTCCACAATTGCTTGTGGACGCTCTAGAGGCTAAAGTTAATATCCAATTGACTTTAAATTTATACACATTGTTTAAGGTCATGAGACAAAGAAGCCTATTGATTTTCAGCGATTTCAGATAATTACTGCCAGAGTTATGGGCCTTGATCACTTAGAAAAATCTTGTGGACGCTCTAGAGGTCAAAGTTAATATCCGATTGACTTCAAATTTATACACAGTGTTTAAGGTCATGAGATGAAGAAGCCTATTGATTGTCAGTGATTTCCAATAAATACTGCCAGAGTTATGGCCCTTGATCACTTTGAAAAATCTTGTTGACGCTCTAGAGGCTAAAGTTAATATCCGATTGACTTTAAATTTATGCACAGTGTTTAAGGTCATGAGACAAAGAAGCCTATTGATTTTCAGCGATATCCAATAATTACTGCCAGAGTTATGGCCCTTTATCACTTTGAAAAATCTTGTGGACGCTCTAGAGGCTAAAGTTAATATCCGATTGACTTTAAATTTATGCACAGTGTTTAAGGTCATCAGACAAAGAAGCCTATTGATTTTCAGCGATTTCTGATAATTACTGCCAGAGTTATGGCCCCTGATCATTTTGAAAAATCTTGTGGACGCTCTAGAGGCTAAAGTTAATATCCGATTGACTTCAGATTGGTACACAGAGTTTAAGGTCTTGAGACGAACAAGTATATTGATTTTCAATGAATCTTTATGACTTGAACAGCTAAATCCATGATGTTAAAAGTTTTGTATACTAAACATTAGCACGGGACAGAACTTTATAAAAACCAAACAAATTCTAATGGTTTTCTGATAATTACTTAATGAGTTGTTACTCTTAATCAGATTTTAATGTATTATAAATGTTTCATTACCGAAAAAAGTAAAAATATGCGAAAACTCTTGTTGACTGCCCGGACGATATAGCTGCTGTGGACGTAAGTTTCGTTGCCTGGCAACCTATCTTTAAAAGTTACGAAGAAATATTTTAAAATATGAAGTCGCTGAATGGGTTGTAAATTGTCAATTCATTGTAAATCAACTTTTCCCAACGGACGTCGGCAATACCGAAGAATGGACGATATTCAACAAATATGCAATTCATTCGAGAATTTTCGACACTATACTCAGATTCTAAATCTGAACATAGTTTCTAAAATTGGGCAAACTAATTACAAGACATGAAAAGTAAACGCCATTGCATTACTACTCACCCGTAAGTTACTAGACGGCTCTCAGTAAAGTGGTAATTTGGCATAAAATCTAAACGCCTTAAATAATTAACACTCTGTTCATTTCTTGACAACGTCCGGGAAAATAAACGCCATGTCTAAAAACTAAACCCCTTTCAAATCTAAATGGTAGTGTTCATTTCTAAAAAACATCCCGAGAAACTGGACGGTCGTAAAGCAGACGATCATTGTCAAAAGTAAACAGTGTTTCTTAATCTACACGGTAGCACAAACTGGGCGGTTTTTGGTGAATCTTGACGGCATTTAACACATTCTTGACGGCAATCTATTAGCCGGATACGTGTATTAAATTCTTCAATTTCTTGACGATAAGCTTAGTTTCTTTTCTTTTTTCATAAAGTCTTGACGATACCCGGTCCCTAGTGATATACGTCGCCATAGTAACGAAGAGGTGGTTTATCGTTAATTACCCACTCCGTTGAAAATTACATTGATATTTTACGTTGAAAAATCGTCTGGATAATATTTCTTTTATTCTTTGAATAAAATGGTTTCCGAGCTTGAAACTACCAATGCCAATCGGAATATTTTTGATGACAGTTCGGCAGACTGCGAAAACACACTGCTGCTGACACGAAAAAGAGCATTTCTTCTATCACTCATATGGGAATATTTTAGTTTAAAAAGGACACCCGACAAGTCTGTTAACCAGATATTGAGTTAATGAATATTTATTCGGTATTATTCCAGCTGATCAGAATAGAATGATCTGAGGTGACGATACCTACAGGCATAATCTTACCCCAGCATATAGAGACAAGTAAACATGCAATTTTCAGCCGTACATTTCAACGTAACCAACCTCTCAACTCTTGTATCCATCCGCCTCAAGATCATGAATATTCGCCAAAACCTGGCAGAAAATGTATTTTCAAAATCAAACCCTTTTCTTCCACTGTACGCCAAAAAGTCGTCATAAATCGCCATGCAAAAGGGGGGCAAAGGGAAAGGGAGAGAAAGACTAAAAATAACTTTCACTCTACATTCGTGGGGGACGGCGTAGAAATATTTTGTGATCTGTGTCCATTTATAAAACGGAAGTAAGAGAGTTATCGCCCTTTGTCAAAGTAAAAGTAGCATTGGCATATGACCATTTTCTGTGAGAAATTTCCTCGGTTAGTTGACACATCTGCAAACAAGTGCAAGGGTGCGGTTATAAATTGATATGACAGTTGTGTTCAACCTTTCCTTTCAACTTATTTTCAGGATTATACCTGTCCACAATGTGCTGATGGATTTGTTGAGCAGATCAGCAAGTAAGTTATTAGTCTGGATTTGTTTTATTAATCTGGTTTATAGTAATGCATTAGTTTACATGACACTAAGAATAACATCCAGCATCTACTGAACACTAGCCATGCCATTTGGGGATTTACATTACGGTATTTCTTTATTTTAATAATTAATTTGTTTGCTCGTAGTATGTAGGATTCTTTAGCAGTACAAGGAAACTGAAGAACCTGAGAAAACCCTCGAGGTTTGGCAAGCGACCCTACATCTTGTCACGTACGTGGCTGACTCAACGACAGACAGTATGACCATACAATACATGTATATAACGACTATTTGAAATGTTATGTAATTTAGCTATTTATCGAAATTGGAATTACAAATGTTTGATTTATCTCATTACTTTCAGAGAACAAAACAATACATCTCAATCATCAACACAAGGCAGTGACCCAGAATCTTTATTTGATGTAAGTTATGCTTGGGAAACATATATACAGGGCTTGAAATGTTTGCCTGTGGTTGACATGGGTAAGGGCATAATATGTCTACATGAATATATCAGGGAATAAAAACTAATTATATGTCACACTACACAAAAACCTTGTTCGCTGATAGAGGCTACAGGTTTTACTAGATTGTTATCTAAGTTAGTGTGAAGCTTAAAGTTCAATGAGAGGACAAACCCTGTCGATATTCAACTTTACCCTCTGTGACAACAGCGATAGAGGCTACAGTTTTTAATGATGGCTTTATTTCAAATTTGTTTTGAAGCATTAGGGTCACAAGAGGACCAACCATATGGTAGGGTGCCCCACTACAAATAAATATCTCCAAATATTTCGACAATTATACCATAATATTTATATATATATATATATATATATATATATATTAGTGTTGAAAATCAGATCGCGATTTGTGATCCGAATACTTTTGTTTGCTATCCGAATACTATTCGGATAGTTCGGAAACGTGAAATTCTTGAACAAAATCACATCAAAAGTTCATATACTCATAATTTCTTACTTATTTCAATGTTTATGAGTGTCTGTGTATGCCAAGTATGAAATCTTACTTTCGATTTGCAAATTGTTTGAGCCGCGGAGAAAAAAACGTGCGCAATTATTAAGACTATTCATGATATCCCAAAAAATCAATGAAGTGAATAATTTTGTATATAACTACTCGTGTAATCCGCGGCCCTCCCACTTATCATTTTTGCTCAATCAACACGAATGAAAAAAGTAAAATAAAAACATCTAACATTTATTCTGCCAAGGTCGTTTGCCTCATTCTGATAATCTACTGCTATTGAACCAATCAGTAAGTGAGAATATACGTGACCTAGGTCGTTATCAATAAATTTCATTGCGGGAAGTCTAAACACAGTTCTAACTTGTATTCCGTAAATCCAAGAAGTAGCTTTTATCTAGCGTAAACCAGCGCAAGAAATGAATGAATATTTTTTTATTTAGACTACTGTTTTCGTTGCACTACATTAATATTTTTATTAATTACTATCGCTAAATTTACGCGTGATATTAACATTTATGCTCAAAGCTGCGTACGTGATCAATAGCATTGGGGGAAATTTCAAAGTAATCAGATGTAAAAATGGCTAAATATAGAGCATACGGAATGTCAGAAGACTGTAACGGATAGTAAAATGATTCGGATAACCCTTATTTTGTATCCGAATAGTAGTTTCAACACTACATATGTATATTTAAGGCGTCTTTATGTATATTTTTTTTTATATTTTGTGACCCTTGCGGCAACATGAGTCTGAATGCGCAAAATCTAATATTGCGGTACAGTCGAAGCAAGTGAAAATACTGATATAGGATCATCACTCGACGTTGCTTCCAATGCGTGGATTGGATCTCGCCTAGCTATATATGTGAAATTTTCCTCAAAATCCATTTGGAGCAAACATTCCTCTCAGGTGTCTTCATTTTATATGGACTTCGCGGGTTTATGTGATATCCAGTCACGGCACAAATTGCACCCACATTCTCATCATTGGCATTCCCCATTATGTGATTTTAAACAGTCAATCTATTTCTTCTTCTTAAATAGTTGAGCTGTTTTGGTAACATGACAAATCTCAGATTTCTCGTCCGTTCCTTATCAACATTATCATAATCCACCTGATTTACAGCTGATTTAAATTTTTATTTTCGTATATGCTGTCTCTATGCTGTAGGTGTGGCTATAACTCAAAGAATATAATTATGAAACTATATAATGCAATACAATTCCATACTTACTAAATGCTTGAATTTCGAAAAAAAATTGTAATTCCGTCACGAAAGAAACATGTAATTCTGTCACGCATAAATTTGGGAATTATTTTTGTGATGAGAAAAATTTTAGAACATACTTCAATACTGGCATGCGTTCCCACATAGGAAATGAGTTTTTATAGAGATATGCTCAATATTAACATTTTTAGAAAAATAAATCATACTCAGTGGGGCGGAATTACACCAATCAGTGAAAAAAAAGATAACTTTTATCAATTTACGAAATCATATTCAGTCACTCAAATCTTATTAAATTGTATCAAACATAATGGTGTAAACATAAGGAAAGCACTGATATATACTATTCAAAAAAAGTAGGGGATATTTGATTTTGGGGGCATAATACTAAAATATGCAAATGACTACGAAAAAAGTCACTATAGAACCTAACAGAAGAAACATTTCCAGTTACATGTGACGCCCAAACGCACCAATAGCTACCGCATGGAATGCAGGTGATGCTTGGGATCATCATGGGGGTCCAACCCAAGATTTGCACGACTCTGACTTTGAATGTTACAGTCATTGTGGCATTGAATTCCAGGGTGGAAACATCAGTTTAATTGTTTTAGTGACCAGAAAACAAATTTTGATATGCGTCGGCTTACCCAAAATGAAAGGTTACGTGCCCTTGGCATGCTACAGATCGGCACAACACAGGCGGTTGTGGCGCGGACGATGAATGTTTCTCAGTCTGTCATAAGCAGGCTATGGTCCAGATACCGTGATACACAATCTGTACAGGACAGACCACGCTCAGGTCGACCAAGGGCGACAACTCAAGCCCAGGATCGATTTATCCGTACCTTGGCCTTGAGAAATCGTGTCATCACAGCAAATCAGATCAGCGCTCGTCTTCAAAAAGACACTGGTGTGAGAGCGAGTGGCCAGACGATTCGGAATCGACTGCATAGGGGTCACCTTCGCGCCTGACGTCCGCGCGTGATCCCTTGTTTGAGAGATCATCACATTCAGGCAAGACGTCGTTGGTGTAGGGATCGTCAACACTGGGATAATCGACGCTGGAGCAATGTGATGTTTTCAGATGAGTCAAGGTTCACTGTTGATTTTTTGGACAGACGTAGGAGGGTGTGGCGTCGTCGAAACGAGCGCTTCCAAGACGTTAACGTCATCAGACATGATCGATTTGGGGGTGGTTCTGTTATGGTGTGGGGAGGCATCACTGTTGCTGGAAGAACGGCTTTACATGTTGTTGCAGGGCGTGTTACAGGCCAGTACTACCGGGACAACATCTTGGCAGTCCATGTTGTGCCGTTTGCACGACGTCATGGCCGCCGTTTCATCTTCCAGGATGACAACGCAAGATGTCACAGGGCCAGGATCGTTACAGGTTGCCTCCAACAACAGAACATCACCACATTACCTTGGCCAGCACTGAGTCCCGACCTCTCCCCCATCGAGCATGTCTGGGACATGCTTGGACAGAGGTTACGTCAACGTCAACAACGTCCTGCCAATGTCCAAGAACTTGCTGCTGCGTTGCAACAGGAATGGGACAATCTGGACCAAAATGACCTTAGACGTCTCATTAGGAGTATGCCACGTCGGATCAATGCTTGTTTGGCAAACAGAGGAGGATTTACCCGTTACTGACTTGGTTGTGATGCTGTGGTAACTTTGCTGTTTGACCCCGGGTATCATTTTACCCTTATAATGGTCAGTCTGTGCCTTACTTAGTCTAACGATCATTTGGAATAAATCGATGAATGTGAACTTCATTTCATTTTGTCATTTGTTTCTTCGTCAGTTTCATTAGGTGACTTTAATAACACTTAAAAATCAAATATCCCCTACTTTTTTTGAATAGTATATTATAACATACCCATCTCTTCTGTTGTTTCAGACAACTTTAATACTTCAGAAGAAAGGCCTTGAAAATTCATATTTGGCGCATTTAATTACTTTGCCAGAAGCGTGATGTCTTTGCGCGTGCATGTCAGCTGTGACGCATCAAAATAAAAATTTCAGCTAAAATTGGTCGCTTAGAATGATAAACTTTACATACACAATTCAAACAAGCGGTTGCCATGCAAGATGCGCCCAAATTTGGCAAGACATAGATAGAGAGCAAGCTAAAATTAAAAAGAAGCGATTTTTCGTATAATCAGGGGACATAATCCAGGAAGTTACGGTTTGATAAACACGTTTTCCTGTCCATTATATATAACAGTATTTTCTGCTTTTGGAACCTACATCACACTTTGATGTGTAAACCCGAATTCAAGATTTTGGGCAAGGTGAAACAGAAATGATTGAACGATAAAATTTCCGATTAATTTTCACATGATCGCCAGAAGTCGTAAAGCGCACAATCGACCAGGTGCTAATTCAGTGTGTGAATACAGCAACCTGTTTTTGCAAACTAAATTCAACCCAATGCGTTTAAAGAATGAACCAGCTGCATTCACAGAAATTTTTACAGTGATCTTATTTTATCCATACTCTCAATTTAAAGCTATTTCAATTCCCGAAAAAAAGATTGAATATTTATAATGATCGATGTTGAAGACTGGTTGGAAAGGCCAAAAAATCATGGGATTTCGGACATTTTATTTTGTTGAATTGAGGACAAAAGGATATTTTCGATAACTTCACAAAAAGGACGATATGTCGGCCTCACGTCTTTAGAGCTATTTGCAACTACTCGGCGAAGTGCGAGAACAGCCTAATCGGGCAGAAAAATCAATTTTTTTAATTTATCGATTTTTTCCAAAATTTCAGACTGAAAACCGAGGTAACCTTAAAAGCACCCACTGAAAAATCAAAATAAATCACCATATTATAAAAATTGCAGCGGTACAGTTGATTAAATCGGGTCGCGCTAATGCGCAAAAAATAGTACTTACAAATATACACGTCATCACACTTTTAGACAAAAATTTAAGAAAAAAAAATATTTTTGTAAATAATGAAACCAACGAATTATCTACTTTATCACTCATTGTTCTATGGAATATATGTTCCCACCTTAAGGAGACCAGCTTGCGCGTAGGTGTCTTTAGCTGTGGGAGGAAACCGGAGGACCGAGAAAACCTCCGAGGTTGGACAAGCGACCCTACTTCTTGTCACTTACAACCGGGAAATCGAAAACACGCCAGTTCACTCGAATGATACAACGCGCACATGTTCACTATTTGGCC